TGGTATCGTTCTAAATAACCCATAGTTGGCTTCTCTTTCTAGGGTACCTAGTATGCCACTATTTGGTGTCAAAATAAAGAGGAGTTCAACTTTCATTTGAATTACGAAAATAGCGATGTAGGTCAAAATAGTTCCGAACGTGAGCATGTTTACTACGCGTTTGCCCGTCATATCAGAATTGAGGAAGTGGTAGCAAACGCGAGTTACAATAAACGGACGCTGATATCTCAAAAAGTAACCGGACTCCCTATAATTTGATGTAGGTCAATCGAACCCCTATATAGTCTATATGGACAAGTGCATTTTGATATATAACACTATGGGGGGTAAGCGTTTCATAGTTGGTCACGAACGCCATATGTGCAAAGTATTGTTATGAATTTTCGAATTTGGTGTTGGATTACGGTACTCATACCTTATAGCACAATTTTTGATCGAAGTTGCTTTTGGCTCCCTTAGTTAATGGCCACGATTCCATCTCGCATGAGAGAGCTACATGTACCAAACGCAAAGTAAACAGTGATATATTCCAAATGAGATATTTCTCCTGTGCCATGGCGTAGTAAGGGTAGAGAGCGACGGGGGCGAAAGCATCCCCTCCCCTAACTGTACATGTATATATCGACCCATTAGATAGAACAAGAAAAGAGCTTTAAAATGTTTTTTAATTGAAGCTTGTAGGACAATTTTGATGGAAGTTGAATCAATTTTTGTCGAAATAAATTATGGCTCACTCCAAGTTAATGCCTGTACGATTCCATACTGCAAAAGAAGCACTATGACCCCCCCTCAAAAGAAAAAAGATAGGTCTTGCCGGGATTCGAACTCGGGACCGAGTGTGTTCGAGTCGTGCTCGCTATCCACTAGGCTACCAGTGATGAGGTTATTTCTAAAGGTAAAAGTAGTGCATTTATTTATGAAATTGTCGGCTCTCTAGCAAAAACACGTAGCAGCCACTTGCGTACCGACAATTGTCGGTTCTCTATCTGGCACTACTAGTTGACGATAGAGTGCCGACAATTGTCGGTACCCCAGCAAATACCCTTGGACAGTCTCCAGTACCGACAATTGTCGGTCCTGGAGCCACTCCGTTTTATAAAAGCACACAGATACTGCCTGTATTTCTTGTTTGTGTATTTCTGTATTTCTGCCATCATGATTATCTATCAGGCTAAAGATGGCAATCACTGACTCCCCGGGCAATGTCTATTCTTTGAAAGAGGTAGATCTAACAGAGATCACCATCAAGATTAAGATAACTGCATAAACCATTTGCCATAAACACTTCACCATCCAATCCACACCTCTGCGCCAGATCCCCGGGGCCGGATCTGACTTGAAAGTCACTGATGGTTAATTGACCCCTGGACCCCTTGTAATTGACCTAACGAAAATTATGAACCGGGAATTATGATTGAAAATCGTGATGAAATTGAAAATCAAAAACATCGATTCAAATATCAGAATATTCAAAAGTTTCAACAAGAAAATGCAGCAAACTCCTCGAGTCGAGGTCTCCAAGTCAAAAAAATCTTGACCCTATTATATATCTGTTGATTATCCTGTTTATAACTGATTCAGGAGCGTGGCACTGAACGAACCTATATGCCTATTTGTTATTTGTTTAGTTGTTGGTTGGGTAACATATTTATGACGTCACAAATGATGCGAAGAATATTTAAACCAATCTGTGAAGTCTATATGAATTGTTTGTTTAGTTGTTGATGTGGCAATACTTGTCTGACGTCACAGGTGATTGCATCATATTCCAGTAACGCCATTTTACGACATTGCATAATTTTAGCTGATTTTGGCTTCATTTCACTTTATTTGAAAGACTTTTAAAAATATAATAATGAGTCAGTATTTTTTCTTATAAATATCAATATTTGAATTTGAAGTCAAAGTCCGAAAACTTGATCAACTGATTGAAATCACATTTTAAAGAGGTGAAGAAGTGAATAATTACAGGAGCAAACGTGATCAATGGTTCGAGGTCTCCCGCAAAGTAGTCGCTACGCTCCTTCTTCGCGCTGCCTTCGGCAGAGGAGACCTCGAAAAAAATTATGAAAATTGAAACGATCCCAACTTTCACATGAGATTATTTGTGTTCTCGCTGCAAGTACCGGCCATGGAATGCTTTCATTTTAACCTTTGGTGATTGTGTAACATGCATGCATCATTCTTACCTTCGAAAGCTGGCAGTACGGCTCCCAAGTTGCTTTTAAGCAGCAATATCTTGAACTTGGAACTGTCCTCCATGTTGATTTCGACGCGGGAATTCCTCTATTTCTATTGGTTGATAGAACAGAATACGATAAAAAGCCGAACGAGAAATACATCAAATTTGCGAACGATGTACTTTCCGTTTGTAACGCTCGCCCTTGTTGAAAGGGACTAAAACGTTTGGAGTGGAGTTTTAGTCAATTTACCGATAATTCGCAAACTTTAGTCCTGGCAAGCTCCAGAGGAAGTCGACATGGACATCTATGAAGTTCAGAGGAAGAAAATGTGGAATTCTATAACTCTGAGAGGAATAATACATGGAAACTTCCAATTTTGAGAGGAAATTGACATAGAAAAAATGCTCAAAAAGGGGGTCTTTGGCGCGGCACATAGGTATTAAGAGGTATATTGGAGTGAACCCCCCGGGACAGAACGTCAGGCTTTTGTCAGCAATAACACATGGCAAAATTACTACGTCGGAGAAACGTTTTCTTTACATCATATTTCCACTCTCACTCTTAATTACCACGTTAAGTTCATCTGTGTGAGCCAACATATGCCTGTGCCTCCACCGATCAGTATTTAAAGTTACCACAACTCGAGGCATACATGTATATTCCAGGGGCGGATCTGGGAATCAAGAAGGGGGGGGGGCCAAATTTCAACTCAGAAAAAATCGTCCGCGCTCGCGCAGAAAAAAATTTTGGGCCCCTAAAACCCAAAAGTGGGCCTAAATTTTGAAATTTTGAGGCCCATTTTCTTCAAAATTTGGCCTGAAATTAAAAAATAAGGCCTTAAAAGGCCCAGTAATGACCAAAAAGGCCCACTTTTTGGGCCCAATATTTTTTTTCTGGGCCCACCCAAGGGGCCCCCAGCCCCCCCCCCCTAATCCACCAGTGTATTCGTTATATATTTAACATTTACTTCACGTCACAAATTAAACGAATTTGTTGAGACCACAACGTCTTTGTCACGTTCTTTTTCACATACATGTATATGTATTTTTCACGTTTAAAACCCGTTTCGTCAACGTCAAAATTAACCGTTTCGACAACGTTGCAAATAAACCAATTTCGTGAGGACATAGCGTCTTTTTGTAACGTTTCCTGCACTTACAAATATTTTTTTACATTTCAATTGAAAACACGTTTCGACAACGTTGAAATTAACCGTTTGCACTACGTTGAAAGTGAACCATTTTGGTCAGAAAATGACGTCTTTGTAACGTGTTTTACAATTACAAATATTTTTCACATTCAAACCATGTTTTGACAACGTTACAATTAGCCATTTTCACTACGTTGCAAATGAAAGTTGGTGGGAAAACAAGGACTTTGTAACGTTTCCTAGACTTACAATTATCTTTCACATTTAAAACACGTTACGACAACGTCAAATTTTACTGTTTATATTACGTAGCAAATGAAACAATTTGGTGAGAACTGCAACGTCTTTGTAACGTTTTCTACACTTACAAAAATCTTTCACATTTAAAACACGTACGTTACGACAACGTCAAATTTTACCGTTTTTATTACATTACGTAGCAAATGTTCCAAATTTGGTGAGAACGCAACGTCTTTGTAACGTTTTTTACACTTACAAATATCTTTCACATTTAGAACACGTTACGACAACATCAAATTTTACCGTTTATATTACGTAGCAAATGAAACAATTTGGTGAGAAGTGCAACGTCTTTGTAACGTTTTCTACACTTACAAATATCTTTCACATTTAAAACACGTTACGACAACGTCAAATTTTACCGTTTACATTACGTAGCAAATGTACCAAATTTAGTGAGAACACAACGTCTTTGTAACGTTTTTTACACTTACAAATATCTTTCACATTTAGAACACGTTACGACAACATCAAATTTTACCGTTTATATTACGTAGCAAATGAAACAATTTGGTGAGAAGTGAAACGTCTTTGTAACGTTTTCTACACTTACAAATATCTTTCACATTTAAAACACGTTACGACAACGTCAAATTTTACCGTTTACATTACGTAGCAAATGTACCAAATTTGGCGAGAACACAACGTCTTTGTAACGTTTTTTACACTTACAAATATCTTTCACATTTAGAACACGTTACGACAGCATCAAATTTTACCGTTTATATTACGTAGCAAATGAAACAATTATGTGAGAAGTGCAACGTCTTTGTAACGTTTTCTACACTTACAAATATCTTTCACGTTTAAAACACGTTACGACAACGTCAAAGTTTACCGTTTACATTACGTAGCAAATGTACCAAATTTGATGAGAACACAACGTCTTTGTAACGTTTTCTACACTTACAAATATCTTTCACATTTAAAACGCGTTACGACAACGTCAAATTTTACCGTTTATATTACGTAGCAAATGAAACAATTTGGTGAGAACTGCAACGTCTTTGTAATGTTTCCTGCACTTACAAATATTTTACACATTTCAAAAACGTTACGACAACGTTAAATTTTACCGTTTATATTACGTTGCAAATGAACCAAACTGGTAAAAATTCAACGTCATTGTTACGTTTTTCACACCAGCACAAATTTCGAACTTTACTAACACATTACTACAACGTCATTTTTTAACCATCCACCGACGTTTTGCTGAATGTCACAATTTTACGTTGCTTTGACGTTTATATAACGGAAATATACAACGTCTTCAGTGAACTTATATACCACATATGAGTGACGTGACATGGACGTCACTGTTTGCTGGGGCAGCACAATACGGTGAATCAACATGAAAAATGCTATAGTATATAAGCTGTTTACGTTAATTGACCCACTTGCACGTCACACTTGTGCTTATTTTTTATTTAGCTCTCCCTAAAGTGACAGGTCCTCGGGTAATCCATACACTCCCCTCCACCTGTTTGGCAGTCGTAAGCCTGGTTTTCATAGAATAGCATACCAAAACCTATCAATTTTTTGAGCTTAATTTTGTTCCTCGTTAATAATAGCTCGGAAATTATTTTTTAAATCTCTTAACATAATCAGGCTTGGATAAGTGATCCAAAAATAAGTCCAGGTTGTCAAAGTTATGAAGGGGAGTGTAATCTGTAGTGCCTGTCAAATTAATGATCAAAGGTAGATTATATACTAGATACATGTATGTAGTACGATGACCTTTTGACAAACTTTATTTCGTCAGTAAGGGCCCTTTGATTATTTATTGTTGGAAAATAACGAGTTTCGATTCTGGGAGCCAATCCTCCTTGGAGCTAAACAAAATTTACCCTTTGTATTCGTTTGACTTCACCTCTTAAAAGAGAGCTTCGTCTTTAACTACATAGTCCACGGTATGAAATTTCTAGGACGTCTAATTAAGGAGTTGGTGGCACCATATCTGCATAATGATATTTGAGCTTATATTTAGATACCTACATGTGTCCCGCGTTTTATTGTATAGCCGTGATAAATACGGCGGGCTTTTAGGCCGAATAATGCATGTCATTATCAGGGGTCAAAAAACGTGTAAAACGTTTTTTGTATTTTTTTCATAATTTAAAGTACAAACATTAAAAGAAAATCACATGAAAATATTTTTAATATATACATCAAGTTTCTTGGCTATAATTTTGCGGTATGTGTTCCTTGAAATACCTTATATATAAAAAATCAAGGTTTTAACATTTTATGTCGTTTTGGAGATATTGGTGAAGCAATCAATATATTGGCACCTTTATTACCTGTGAATAACATATGGTTATAATATGTCAGTTTTTTACTAAATTAGTTGTAATACATTTTGAGATATGGGCAGCCGTATTCAGGGATCAATTGCCAATAAAGGGAGACTCGTTGTTCTTCCTTGTGTAATACCGTCTGCGATTGAAAATTGTTGCATATGGTTGAACATGAATTGGTTGCTTATATAAGGACCATATCTTCAACATTTGACTACATGGATCTTTGAGAAATGTCGGCAATAATGTAAAGATGAATCGATGTAATGCATCGCAGTGACAAATATAATTGTTGTTATATTATACTGTTTGTTACACATTACTAAAAAACAGAATTCTGAAGTAACAAAACATGAACGCACAAGTGGAAATGGAAAAGGCACAGCAACAAATGGAATGTGTTCAAGAGTATACTAATATAAAACATGCAAAATGCCAACGCATATTCGTTACATACACCGAACGCCGAATATGTACTGTCAATGGACTTTATGTTGGAAACTATAACAATATGTCATACCATTCTTGGTGGTGACATAAGAAACACTAGCAATCCCAAAGTCAAACGTCTATCAACCCCTCCCGACCCACGAGCTAAGTATAAACATCATTCCCAGACCATTACACCAAGTAGCACCTCATTATACTCGAGTCATTACAACACAAATTGAATATAAATACAAATTGTGAGCCAATATTCATAACAATACTAATAGTATATTAGATATACAATATTTAGAATTTGGTCTTAATGCTTTGAGATAGATATTATAATTCGTTTAACGTTTAAAAATGTCAGCATCCCACTGCAAACCTAAAGCCATCAGTTTTAGCAATTTAATTGACAATGCCTAAAATAATCCCCACATCCTTCAGCATCTCGAGTACATAAACTTAAACGGTCGCAAAATCCAGAAACTATTTTACAAAAAGGAACACTGTTCATTAAACAAAACAGAATACCTCAAATAAAAATCAGTGACTATAGCATTTGGATTCACTCGCATAAACCAATCCTCTCATGAAAGCTCTTATATAGAACTAATAATTCGTTTATAAATCACAGGTAATATTGCCTAACATAATGCATTCGCAAAAAAGTAACATCTCACATGAAAAATCAAAAACATAATAGCCTCATGAATATACTCACAAACACGAATACCTCACATATTAATCGTAACTGATATAACAACTTCTTCAGTATAGTATATTCCTCGCGTATTATGTGGTACTGTATAAAATGCACTCAAAAAACCTGATACTCCACATCACGCGGTACTAACTTCGACCATTAATTTGAATTTTTGACCTACCAGGTGCTTCAATATCAAGGATTGCGAGTCTCATACTGCACCGTTTTTCTTCAAACTTATACCATTAAAAGCAAAACAAAATTGCCTTTCTGTCGGTGCATTACTTGATTGTAAAGAGTCCCTCGTTCACGCAGCGTTTTGGTCCCCAGCTGTCGGAAGGCCTTCTTACAGCTGGGGACCAAAATGCCGCTGGAAGTAGGGTCTCTTATTAAGAGAATAATGTACCATCATCAAGGGATTTTTGTTATGCTTTGAATGGAACAAGTTTGAAGAAAAACGGTGCAGAATGAGACTCATAATCCTTGATTTTCAAACATCCGGTAGGTCAAAAATTCAAATTAACGGTCGAAGTTAGGATCGTGTGCACATAAAAACTTGGATTAATCAAACGTTATAGGATGCGCCTCACATAAAAAACAATATAGCATCACAGAGTGCATTATTTGAAAGGAATACCTTTTATAAAATTTCAAATATTATCACTACTACCCACCTAGTTACACAGACGTATCGTCAGTGTATCATGGCTGAACTACTTCCGGGATTTGAAGTTGGTAAGATATTTTTATTTCTCGATTTACATCTACTTATAAGTCACGATGTGGATTATAATTTGGCTCGAAGTTATGGGAGATAATCTAGTTTGAGAATGTGTCGATGGTTTTAGGTTTGGTATGTTAACGAAGACGCATTTCACATATTTAGTCCCTCGCTTTTGTTACACTGACGACCGGCATTAATATTGCCAATATTACACTGATATTGGTCGTTCGTCAGTGTAACAAAAGCGAGGGACTAAATACCTGAATTGTGCCTTTGCTAACATATAAAACCTAAAACCATCGACACATTCTCAAACAAGACTATCTTCCTTAACTTCGAGGCAAATTATTATCCACAACGTGACTTATAAGTAGGTGTAAATCGTGAAATAAAAAAATCTTACCGAAACCTAGTCCCGGAAGTAGTTCCGCCATGATACACTGACGATACGTCTGTGTAACTAGGTGGGTAGCAGTGATTATACAGAATATAGAATGAAGTTAAAAGAACTTGTACTCCCCTAAAATAAACTGTATGGATAGTACTCACAATTAGCAACGACCCAGGGACAATGACTACCACTCCACATAAAACATCAACAATGATATTGAACTTCTTCACTACTTCTTCAGCATAGAATTTACTCAGAAATGAGTAATACATGTTATTCAAGTATAAATTAAATTACCTCCTTCATATGTGACATATAATTTCACCCAGAAACTAGTTTTTCTAGCAATACCCGATATAAAGACAAAAGAGATATAGCCTGGGAGTAGCCATTTTGTCCCAAATGCTATCCAAAATGTCATGAATATGTACGCACGAGTGCCAAATGCGAAAGACCAAAAATGACAAAACATAGCAGGAAAATGAAATGTCTAAGATCTCATTGCCAAATGGAAAGAAAATCCAACTATCTCAAATCAATATACACCGTGAAAGGAAAATGTATCTTACAACACTCACAACAATTCGTAAAAGTGCAATTCGCATGGCTTTGGCGACATAGAGTTTGTGCACAAATGAATAATGCCTGATAAAAAGTCACAAATTATAAAATGAAGTATGGCTTCCTAAAACTCGAATGGAAAGATCGGAAACGAGAGATGTTGGATTGCTGAAAAAATTGAGAGAACCGGTCTTACAAAAAATTATTCGATGTCGTCTTTAAATATCGGAGGCTCGTCTGAAAGATTGGATGTGTGCAACATTATAAATTTCTCCCAATTCCAATCGGGACTTTGCACGCGATGGGTGAGTTGATATGATTGATAGGGTCACACCTTGGAACAACGATAAATATCGTGAACACAGATGATAAAATATAGATAGTCAATGAAATAAAATATAAATGAGTACCTTTAATTTAGTATAATTCACAATCTCGCCCTGCTGAGTGAAATCGTCTCTAACGGTGTCACTCATCCATCACGAAGGTTGGTTTCTGGTTCTTATTAATGACAGTATGGCTCTCACTTATAAATTTACATTTAGAATAGAACGAACATTTGTCAAGTTAGGATCGAAACAAAAACTAAATCTTGTCTTCGCAAGGGACAGTTCAAAAAACTAAATTACTATCTTGAATTTCACAAATCTTGCTCTACTGCATCAAATCGTCCTGAATATAGTCACTCGTCAACCACGAAAGTTGATTTCCGGTTTCTTAATAAATCATTCTAGCGTTCTCATTTATAAAACAATCGATAATTAAAACTGAAATATATTATAATGCATTCAATGTTTACTTTCTTACAACATTCCATGGTTATTTTATTGTGGGAGCACAGCATTGTGACACTTTGATATTTGCGACGCATTTGACTGCGCCTTCTTTATTCCTCGATGCAAATCATCTAGTTTAAAAATGTAAACATTCCAATACCAAAATTAGATTAATTATTTAATTGATACATCCTTTATATTTTTATTTGATTACGTTTTGAATATCATTAACAATAATCCGTTGTTTGACCCTTGGAAACGCAAGAAATATTTCCGTGAATATATTGTTTCTATAAGTACAAAACTAATATGTTACTAATTATAGATTTTCTGAATATTTCGCATAATTTGGTCACATCTGCTCTGTCTTATTTTTTTCTAAATAATTAAACGTTGAAAAGTACCCTAGTACAATGCACTAATTGAAAAATGACATTTACGTTAAAATAGTATTATATTTCTATGTAATCCTAATCCTTTAAATTATATATAAGTTTCGATTTACAATTTGAGTCTCATAAAATGCACTAAAATGCTCATGAAAAGCTTCACGTTTTTTGACCTCTTGTGATGACAGACATAATGCGACCCGAAAGCCTTAATATTTTTTACCAAATGGCATTTTAAAAGCATAAGGACATATGCCCCTCCCTAAATATCGGTTCAAATGTCGTTATGCATATATGGTGCCACGGGTTTGTAATATCTATGAGCCATACCATGGACTAACACTCTGCACGCAGGGTAAACAAAATTAAAAAGGCCTTGTATTTATCAGTTTGACTGCACTTGCTCGCCATCTTTCTTTCAACGCAAAAGTTTTATTTTAATATGACTCTTCTAGAGACAGATTTGCTACACCCCCCCATAATTTGCTTAGAATAAAATTTCATGTTTTAACCCAAAGCAACCCCTTTCTCTTTATCACCCTACCAAGGTGAGTTACATTATCTTAAGTGAGTGTGATTCAACTGATATAAAACAAACACAAATATTTTGATGTGAGGTTTATTATTAATTCATACGCACAAGCGGCTGATATAGAATACTCTCTTGATATCATTCGAATGTGTAGGCATATTTGATAAACAATTTGAGAAACATCTATTAATACAGACTATCATGATCAGATTATTTTAAGTGATAACCGAGTCTGCGAGCCAATGAGTGTTTATATTTGGAATCTACGAGGTAATAAAAAATGTTATCACTAGAAATGATCTGATAGTGGGCTTGTCCCACGATTAGAATCTAAGATTCAAAATTTCAAATTCGTGATAAAGAATATCAGCCGTATGACGGGCTCATAAATGACTCTCTGAAAAATATCAGAAGGATTTCCATAATATCAGAAATATCACTGGGTGTTGTTGTATAAATAGTAACATAATAATCGTGAGTTAGTATAAGATATATCACAGAGAAAAACAATATGGGTTAACAACAATTATTTTAATATTGCTGTTAATCGAATATTAATCACGTGATAACGTGTTATTATCAAAACTTGCAAAGCACTTTGTACGAGCAATATAAACGTTAGGTCAGTTTACCTCGATTATCCTCGTAAAGTAATCTGCACGACGGCCTGTGTATTGGAAATTGCATTCATAAACATTTGTAGGCCTATAAATTCATTCGAGTCATTCCTGGTGAAGGATATTTCAAGTATTGTTGCAATCAAGAAGACTAGATAAAGTATTTGGCAGCAACGAGTAGTAACAAAGGGAGAATATAGAAAACAGAAAATTGAATTAGAATTTAATTTTAGAATGTATTTTATCATTAACAGCTACTGACATCTGGTATATTATTGATTCAATTAAAATAAGTAATACATTCTGAATAATTAAAAACAAACTTAATCATATGTTGGATATATCCGTTATTCATTTGAAATTATAATCGAAATGATAATTGCCATTCAGTGAGCAATCGATGTAGCAAAATTAATCAACATTTCATTAGTTTCAGAGCATACGACAACGCTTAAGCTGAACTGTACGTAAATACATATTTGCAAAGTAATTTAAGGCGCTTTGCCTTAGACTAACCTTCTCTGATTACACAAGCTCATCAGGCAGTCGATGTAAAACTCAAGAAGGGATAGAGCCATGGCTTGGAACTGGAGGCTGGGATTTGTGCTCCAGTTAATGGCGGTGGCTGTATACGGAGAAGTGGATGTAACGAAGATCAAACGATGCAATCCCGTGTCATCAATCAAGGGATCCGTGTATAAGTTTTCATTACCTGAGCTACAGGATGATGACGAAGAGAAACGGAACTTTTCTTTGAGTAGATACAGAGGGAAGACGCTCCTTCTGCTGAACGTCGCATCTTTCTGAGGTACAGTAAACAATTGTGCACATATTCATTGACTGCCCCTGGTTTGTATATAAATTATATTATATAGCAAAAAATGGCAGGGGTGTAGGCTAATTCTACCCCATCACTGAGCATATGGCGAGATATGTCGTTTTTGTGACAAGGGGTTCCACCTTTGGCGCTTGACATCTGGAACACATTACCGTACGTTTCTAACGTCATGTAAACCATATGCTGACATTTTCCCTGTGTGTTATTTTGTTGTTATTTGCATTTGTCGCTTGAGTAGTATTAGTAATAACGCATGAGCTATATCAATTGCAAGTCACTAATAGTAAAATAAACGGGTTATATGTAAGATGCCAACAATACATTGATGCTGTGCAATTGATATGGTTTAGACTGCCTTGACCTTCATAGGATATGGATGTCTGAGTGGCAAACTTCATAGAAAACTTATGATATTGGTACTCTCTAAATTAAGACATACTTTCAGCCGTTATCCAATAGATGTAATAAGAATAACGTTGAATCACGAACCTAAACTTTCAACCTGTTTCATTTTCCATTTCACTTTCGGTATTGTTTTGTATGGCCGTATTGCAGTAAATGGCATCGTATTGTATAGCATTGTATTGTATATATTTATATTATATTGTACTGTATTGTATTGTATTGCATTGTATTGTATGGTATACACTTATATCTAAATGGAGATGCAAGTTATGTTTTGCAGAATAAGATATAGAATAAGTGTGCAATTTACAACGAATATATAATACATTTAAGAACTGTTGTCAGCAAATGTGGTGAACCCGTAGCATTACGTGACTTGATGCATGGAGCCCACATCTTTCATATTGTGATCAGAGATCGAGAATACACCCATATTCTCGACTGACTGCTGTTGCAATACATAGCAAACATAACGGTATTCTTTGCTTTCGTTCGACTTTGCTTCTTAACGTCTTCAACTAGACTCGGCGCTATGGTGGTAACACAACGGTTTATAACATAATCAAGTATCGTGCATTACATTTAGTACAATAGTCTTTGTGTGTTAATCCGAATGTAGACGACCCTTCCTTTCTCATAATATGAACACAGTAAGAGAGGAGAGAGGTCATATTAGGCCCATTTTGATAATTTAAAACCAAAGCGACAATTGAAATAAAATAAATGACACGATTGTATGTCGTGTCTACAAGTAATTGTCTTAGTGGGTTAACAGTTGTCCACAGCTGTCTAATAATGTGCGAATTAGGGAATACTATTCCGAAAGAGGCCATTTCATCAGTTGATGTACTATACCATGAAAGCTCGCATTTCAGTGGCTCGTGTTAGGCGTAACATTGCTGGAAGGAAGGGGCTAAATGTGGGAAGGGGCCCACTGAAAATAATCCCAATCCGTCTTCACATGCAACACAATTAATTGTTGAAACTGTTGTTGCACCTGTCTAATGAAAGATGCTCTTATTACAAGAAATCATACATGAATATTCTATATTGTATTGGTTATTTTAAAAACAATTCCATTCAACACAATATAATTGAATACTAGTATAACACGATGCATACTGGTCAGTCAAGTGCCTATCATACACACTGGAAATGCCTTGTAACAGGCTTAAACGTGATCCAAAACGGGGGATTCGCGGTTGCCATAGTTATGGAGGGGAGTGTAACAAATAGCATTCAATCAGCTGCTGTTGCAACCTGTTGATTGGATTTCATATGTTAACTTTCCTTGACCGAAGCACGTGTTTCCATATAATATTGATTCTAATTGATCGAAGAACTGTAGTCTCACAGTTTATATGAGTACAAGGGTCGAACTGTTGTCTCACAGTTTATATGATTACAAGGGGCGAACTGTAGTCTCACAGTTTATATGAGTACAAGGGGCGAGAATGTGTGTATCCACCTGACAATGACAATTGGGTGGGACTACTATATCGATGGAACCGTACACCCATATGCATTCTCCAATTGATGCTAACGTCGACAAACCCCTCCCTTTAGCGGTTACCTTTGAAAGAAAATTGACGATAAAAACATCCAATGAAGCCTGTATATCTGAAAACCTCTCAAATCCCAGGAGCTCTCGATGTTAGCATCTTTCTTTGTCCCGATTTCGTTATCTCTCAAAGACTCACACATTAAAAAAAACTTAAAATGTGAACACCTCCTGTACTTTTAGTAATGCTCTTCAGGACCTTCTCCTTCGGGAGCCTAAAATTGTAAAATGATAAATCGATTTCTGTTTGCAGGTTTCACCTACCAGTATTACGAGCTGAATGCACTGCTAGCCGAATATACTGCACTATTAGAGAAACACCCTGATCATTCCTTAGAAATTGTGGGCGTTCCTTGTAACCAATTCGCTCGACAGGAGCCAGGCGCAAACAGATCTGAGATATTGAATTCGCTTCGCTATGCTCGACCCGGAAATGGCTTCATTCCTTTATTCAGTCTTTCCGGAAAAGTCGAAGTAAATGGTCCAAATGAAACGCCTCTGTACAGCTTTTTGAAGGTATTTGAGAATAGCTTTATGTGTTAAAAAGTATCAGATCTAACGAGCTACCGTAACAACGTTTAGTTTATAACAGTCCTTGTCATTCAAAATTTCACCAAAGTGAATAATTCATTTCAGGAAACAATAATGTATCATTTTTTATGCCACCAGAACAAGTAGTGACATATAATTATAGCCTCCAACTTTTTTTGTGGACGGTGTTCGGTGTTTGTAATAAATGGCGTCTGTTGTTACGCGGAATATGGCATATATTCATGGTTGCGCGGTATTTGTGTTACTGGTGAATATGCCATACTCACCTGCGGTATATGGCATATTCTGCAGGTATATATGGGATATTCTGCATTGAATATACGATACATTAATTTCAGTGAATACCCGATACTCACCTGCGAAATATGTCACACTCACTTGCGGAATATGCCATATATACAGGGGGTGAGTATGACATATACCGAAGGTGAAAACGTGATACAGAAAGCCTTAATTTTATTGGGTGCCAGAACCAACTCTAAATATATATTCTGCCTTATTTTAGGAAAGGTCGAGTGGACTAGGTCTAAGTAATATAAATGGCGTGGACGATTTCAACGATTTTCAAACGTGTTTATTTCTTAAAATTTGTTTTTGAATTTTAGGAATCCTGTCCCGAAGCGCCTGATACAAATATTGGCGATCCACACGATCTTTTCTGGACTCCCCTCGCCTCAACTGATATCAGATGGAACTTTGAGAAGTTCATCATAGACTCTCATGGTAAACCAAGATATAGAATCGACAGATCTGTCGGTCCAACTGAAATCCATGGGTTCTTGAATGAAGTGATACAAGCACCTGGTGACACTAATTACCTCGACGACTTGCTCAACGAAGTTTTTGGATCTTAGATAAATGATACCGGAAAGACAAATAACATTTACATATTGAAAACTTTGAACATCTATACATATAGTAATAATTATTGCACCTATCAAATGATTACTTTACTAACAGATAATCATTTGTCCAAATCTCAAAAATGAAACACTCTGGATGACATTTCCTGGAATCAAAAGTGACTACTCAGTTTCGCATTAATTGATGACACAATATTATAGAGCTGCTCAGCTCATGTCCGTCACAAAGTGTATTTATCATACATTTTTGACTTCCAGACTTCTCAGTCTCACTAAGATCACCAAACATAGACATAGTATACTATTAAAGTTGACATTTTCAACATTTGGATTTGATTACAGTATGTTTTTCTCAGTACATCCCCACGTTTTCTTCTCCTGTGTCAGTCGTCTTTATGAAAACTTGGCGACAAACTCTCGAAGGAGTGGGCCAAGTCTGAGGACATGTTTTTCAGGATAACTTTGTGCATTCAGTTTTCCTGGTCAGACATGTGACGCTAAAATAGGAGAAGGAAATATCGGGATTTCGGGTCAATATGAAATCAGAATTTAAACATTTGAGTAAACCTCTACATTCTTGTATTAGAATTAAATATGCTCGATAGTGTAGCAAAAGAATAAATTCATATCTAAAGTCGATAAAAATATTTTCGTATACTCATTGAAAATAACTTGCAGATAAACGCAAGGACTTTCACTCTCCTACAAAAGTTTGGCAATCGGCAATTTGGGCTGGACAACCAGTTGTTAAAACACAATTGAATATAGCCCAACACACACCGATAGGTCAAGGCGAAACTTACTCTATTGGGTCCTATATACAAGCTGACTTCTTTGCCACACGGAGTCCAATCTAGTCCCAGTAACAGTTAGTAACCTTACACGTCACGTGATCAAAGGTTCCACGATGCCCAATGGAAACAACCAACATGCTCATTCTTGATGGGACTTGATGGAACTTTCCCCGATGAAGAAGTCCCATAAGACTCGATTGGACTCCACGAGGCAAGGTTCAACGGTGGCTAACCGGGAAGTCATGTAACATTGCTAAGAAATTAATGCGATTGATTAATGTGCATTCAAAATCTGATCTAAATATATAGGTATTTTTATCAGCTCACCCAAATACACAAGTATAATTATTCACATCCAATCACTCGAAATCAAATAACAAAAAAACATTGATGAGTTTGCTCAGTTGACAATTAACATTAATCTGACTTGAGGTTGATCTCACAAACAAAATTGAGTAGGTAGGTGCATTCAAAGTCAGCCCATCCGTAGAACTGTTCCCAAACCATGATACACTTCTCGCGACCACGATGGTTGTCGGGCTGTGGGGGATTACCTCGGGTGCTCCAGTGTGTGTATTTCAGGGGTGACTGGTAAAAGCAGCCACCCTGTTGCCATTTGTACACGTTATTGCTCAGCATGTTTCCCCCGGTCCAATACCCAATCCTTCGTTTGGTTTTCAGAAAGTTCATTTCCTCCTGTGTTTCGATCGCTAGAAGATGGGCGCCCTTACTCTGACATATCGCATTAGCCTCATACCAGGTGACCTTTTTGGTGTTTTCGAAGAAATAACACGAATTTAACTTGTTGTTCTTTTCGAAGCCGCTTGGACATCTTATCGGGCTTTCACAGCATTCTCGTGCGTAGCTGGCCAAGCATTGGTTGACAGCCACCACCAACAAAAGCAGGGAAACAGGTACTGAACGTGCAGCCATGTTTACGCTCTATTGTACATACACCGCAACACCTGAATTAAAACATATCGAACTGGGATATATAAATTATAAACTCCTACACCGTGACGTTTGTGATACTCAATACATAACTGGCCTTAGATTAGAGACTTATATTTTGTAACGTGTTGATACTTTCGAAAAATGAAATTAAGACATATGAAGCTGTAATTTTTGAAAATCTGATTGGTTAGGACAATTTGCCGTTTACAAATCTTTGGTACAAAATCGCACGTTGACTTTAAACTAAGTTGAATGAATTTAGTAATGCCTTTATTTCACCTATCTTTTGTTTTCCTGAGAAGATGTTTAGCATAGACCTATACCTAAAACTTACTGATAAACATTAATAAATATAAAAGCATAAAAGCTAATAAAAATAATAAAATGTTTGCGTAAAATTACTTTCAAAAGTTACTTACTTAAACTTCCTTTTTTGGTACAACAGCAGTCGAGTCAGCAATGATACTGTCAACTTTGTGAGGTTTTTATTCTGTTGCAATAAATTAAAGGTTTGTGTTTCATCCAATGAGTGATGCTCTCGTGTTCGTTTCGTCGTAAAGTGATCTACCGCGGTTTCAACCACCATGTTTAACTGAGTATATGTGGTTAATGATTTTTATCAATTTAGAAACGGATCTTGGTAAACGGAATTCATCATTTTATTTTACCAACGATAAAACTAAAATAAAAGATTGTATTGTAGTTATACCACAATTTTATTGTGCTTTAGTTTTTTGTATCTTTATCAACCGGGATTCTGCCTTTAACTTTCTTGTGCCATACCTTTTACTTACATATGTGGATTGTGGAAATATATAATTGATATATATAATTTGGAAGGAATATAAATTTGGAAGTTGAATCGACCAGTGAATATTATAATATATAATGTATTATTCTGTTTCTTATGAAATAAGCGTCAAACTCGACTATGCCTAACTGTACATTTTTGTTAACTCAAAAATGAACACGTAACGTAAAATTTTCATTTGTACATTTATTTGATGCCCTTGAACTGATGAAAATGGGTCAAATCATTAAATAGGTAACCTCTCAAAATGTGTCTTACATCGATGACAATATGGCGTTTAAGCTTGCTTATGAAACAGTGGCAAAGATCAGTATAAATTTCAGAAAGTAAGAAAATTCGAGTATAAAGCACACACGTCAATATTTAGCAAGTCATTAAGCTCTGAGCAGTAATAAAATCGAAGGCAATGATAATGGTTAATGTTTTTTTACAACAAAAATAATTGTAATCAATTGTAATTTCATTTTATCGAGACCATAAAATGTAAGTTTTACAGTTTAATGGATACATACTTTGTGGTCACACGCTTTGACATCTGCTTTTGGATCAGCCCATTTGTGTTAATTATAGAATCAATAGAAAAATTTAGGTTAGGATTTTATGATGAGACGATTCTACTTCACCGAACACAAAGCATTTGAAATGGAAATAATTTAAAGAACAAATCTAAAACAGTTATGGGGTATTACTAAAGGGTGATAGAAAGAAGTCTTAAAAATAAAGAGTGCATGCTAGTCAATATGTGTTTATTTTGAACGGTATAAGTCGGTATTATTACGATATGCAAACATGTACATGTTATACGTATTATACAATACCCAATTCAAACCCAAAATTAGAAATCTGTTTCGTCGTGGAACGGGGCAAAGTTTAACAAAATGTCATTTTTTGACCAGTGGTTCTGTCCGAGTCCGAGTTCTGTCCACCCATGTAGCTCAGTGGTAGCGCAGGTACCTCTTACGCAATAGGTCCCGGATTCGATCCCCGGTTCAGGCAAGACTAAATTTGCTTGTTTGCGTGAAGTACTTCAGGGTGTTTGACTGAGTGGTCCGCAACTCGTACAAAAGTCTGTGGTGTGTACTTGTATGTCTATGTATAAGTGCACATAAAAGAACACAGGGCTCCTTCAAGGAGGGGTTTCTGGGTCTATCTTCCATGTTAATTACGTAAATTACGACCGTATATATACGGGAAATACCCAAAAGGTATTGCTCACCTTCATTGGTGGTAAACAAAATACAATACAATACATAGGGATCTTTTCCAACATTTTCAATAAAACTTTGAATATGTTCATTAATGATGGTTTACCAAATATAAAACTATTATTGTTTGTGGTTATTCATGATATTGTGGATTTGACCACAGAAAAAACAATTCCTCGAAAAATGCATTTATTTTTTCTGATCATCACGGGACTTAGAAACAATGGCACGCCTTATACGTGTATGCTCATTTAATTAGCTACCTGTAACTGCCATATATAACAGAGTATTGAAACACACGTCCACTTGTTGGTGTTAATGAAAGAAGGAAAAACGTGTAAGTAAACATGATATTATATTTGGCACAACTTTTATTCAAGCTGCTTTACAATCTTTAATGTAATATTAGTGAAAGTTGCGATGTACATCAACTCTGCTATAAATGATGTTTTATATAAATGAAATTTGAGAAAGACAGTTAGTTTTTATATAAAAAAGTATGTGATTTACTTACATGCAATTTACATCATGTAAAAAGTGTCACAAACTTACCTTCACTATTTATAAGGTTAATTTTTTTAAGACGACTGCATTTCTCGACGCCCTTAAATGTTACCAGCATCTATTCAGATAATTAAACGCATTTAACGCAAAAGAAGGAATCATCAGGAGGTTAAACAGTGATTTAAGATGCGCTTGCATTTCCGTTGCTCTAAAAGAACTGGGAAGTAGTCCAGACGATGTCACCTTGTAGTGTATTCTTATAGATAAACATTAAGCTGTTCATCAATAATTACATCAATCAGGTAGCAGGTTTGATATAGTCCTCAATGTATTTAAAAAAGTGTAAACTGTCGTCTACCTTTGTAGGGTTATATCTAGGCAGAGGCGTACGTAAACATAGAACAATGAGAAGTATCGGAGTGACTGCGCTACTTTTTGGGTTGGTGTGTCTATATGTTGATGAAGCAATGGCACAAAGAACGTGTTGCGGCAGACCGAAGGAATGTCCGCCTGGCTGGGTGCGCAATTATGACTCTTGCTATCAATATGCGTCGGGCAATACAAAAGTCACGTGGTACGAAGCAAACGCCATCTGTCAAATGAAACATTCTCATCTCCTTGCAATCGAATCTCCTGCCGAAATGGACTTCATCAAATCGCAATACAGAATCGCTCTCTGGACCGGAGGAAACATACTGAGTGGTGGGGGAAAATTCAAATGGGCCGAGGGTGGCTGTTACAAATCGAGGGAAGTAGGCTACTCGAACTGGAGTCCAAATGGTCCACAACCAGATAACCACTTGGGGAAGGAGTCTTGTCTCATGATATGGGATCAACAGTTCCGATGGGCTGATTTTGATTGCAACTACAAACTTAGTTATGTCTGTGAAATAAATTTGTAATAAAAAGTATTAGATAGTACACGATCGTACTAAATAGAACATATATAAGTAATATAATAGCTTTTTATTAGTTTCTATATTATCTCAAATATTAATTGTATTTTTGATTGTTCCTTAAAAAGCAAGCAAATATATATTAACAATTCTGATGCTTTTTAACCCCAAAATGTTTTTTATTTTACTAGTACTGCACTCTTCAAAACCGAAACGGATCCGCTTCGGTAAAAAATCCGGTGTGACAGTTCCACATGTCCAGGCTAAAGTATGTCCAATGAACTTATTTTCTTAGAAATGCAGGTCCGTCGGACACTTCGTCCTAGGAAAATAAGTCCAGGGACTTGCATCCTGGAAATTAGTCCATCGGACATGTTTTCCTCAGGACTGTATGTCCTATGCCTAGGATGAGTAGTCCGAGGCGGACTTGTATTCCTGGATGCATGTCAGAAATTTAAGACAATATGTAAACCATGTTAACTCTTTAAGTGTCAACATTTCAATTCAAGTTTTCACATAATTAATAAAACATCCAACACAAAAATATTACATGTCCTATTTTCATTCAAAATATTACAATACAATTTGCATTGGTTTACATATGAAATGTTTGAAAATATCCGGGAATTCCAATATGATACGGGCACTAAATGAGTTTCAAGAAGTCATGTCGGCAGAACTCTCCTTACTTTTTGTACCATTGGAATGCATGTTAAATTGACAAAGTTCGAATTAGAATTTCTCAAATCGCAGCCCATTGATTTGCAAAGAATTTCAGAAAAATACAGCAAAGCATCTCACCTCCATGTCAAAAAAAATTCTAAGAGAACTACTCTCCTCATACAACGAGACAAACAAACCGAGTAAGGATAGTACACTCTAATAGGGCCATGGTTGACTGAATAGCCATGCTGTCCGATGTTCATTTAAATGTTGGGGGTTTTCTGAAAGGATTTCCAAACTTTCAGTCCAATCCCTTCAGCATTTTTGATTTTATAGGGTTCGTCTGACCCCCAGGGTCATTATATTTTGTTTCAAGACTGAAAGTGGATATTTTCTCATAAATATAACATATTGGAGAAATGTTCAGTACAATTTGCGTTATCCACAAGACTTCCATTCTGTGCAATGGTAAATGCAGCCATACACGCGAAATCAGTCAGCCGTGAACTTGCAAATTCAATTATCTGAACAATCTTTAGGTAATTTTGGGGGATTTTGAGCCCTAGTGATGCTAGTAGATTTAAAAAAACTGGTTAAAATTGTTGCAATAGCAAAAATAATTCATTTACTCTCGTAAGTATGACTATTTGTTTATTTGGAAAATAGAAAACCATTAAATGTTCGTTTTTTCACAAAATGTTGATGACTAGACCAACTAGCATTGTCTTTCATGTAAGTGAAATGAATCTGCCCCTTTGAAAATGGGGTTTTGGTGCGTATAAAGTTGTCAAAATGTTAATTTTTCGCATAGTGTGGTGTCGCATGTTTGAGGTATGTACCTTTTAATTGAGCAAGGACTGCACCAAATCCTCTTTTGAATTAGCACTTGTGTAGTCATTTAGGCCAAAAACTACGATTTTCAGTAAAAAAACGAAAATTGCTGAATCAGCAGAATTTAGATAGTCGTCTCCAGGAGTTAAGGGGTTGATTTGCAAAACTTCAAATAATCACACAGAAAGACATGCGTAATGAGACTAAATTCAATATTTTTTCGAAATTCATTGACAAATGTAGTTTCTAATAGGTAGAACTCTCCTTACTTTTTGTACCATTGGAATGCATGTTAAATCGACAAAGTTCGAATTTTAATTTTTCAAATCGCAGCCCATCTATTTGCAAAAAATTTCAGAGAAATACAGCAATCACCTCCATGTCAAAAAAATGTCAACAAAAATATCCCAAGAAAATCAAAAGTTCTGCTCTCTTACATAACACGAGTACCAAAACCATCATATCTATGTACATTGACCAATTCACCACTACCAAGGTCATCATTCCGCAGAAAATAATTCCAAATATTTTACCGTTCACTGTTATGATCACATGTTTTCCAGTTATTCTGGGCATTATATGCCAGCGAATGAGAGTATTCTATCCAAAGATGGTGCTGTAGTATACCATTGAAGTCCTACTTTCCTCATAACACGAGATAAACAAACCGAGTAAGGATAGTACACTCGTCTAAAATTCTTCAGACACCCCACGTCAGAGGTGGTACTGCTATCATCGTCCTTTTGAGCTTCTCCAGCTGGTTTTCGGTATAGCTTGAGATTGCCAGCTGCTACTCGAGCCAACGTTTTTTCCCCTAAAATGCCTAAGGTAATACACTAGCCCCCTTGGCTGCAAGTTGTGATAACGTCCGTCTGGCCCAAAGCCACTTATCTGCCGTTTCCCCCCTTCCCATGGTGAAGTTTGCGGAGGATATTTGAGCTAGCATAGGGAGTTTGAGCTAGCATATAAGATCGAAACGCCAACCTATGCGTATGACCAATCCAAGGGTAAGATCTAAAACCCCGCTATGAGCGGTCGTTCTGTGGTTCTTTTGATAATAAATTACAGCTGAGAAATGGTTTGAAATGTGTAATACATTTAATTTAAAACTAAAAATACATCTTGATTCATATGATACATACTATTTCGTGAAGTTCATCAGTATGGGTTCAAATCGGTCTTGCACCATGTATGCATATAGACTTGAGAAGCTACCGAGAGAGTTAGGAACAAAGTGGGGGTGGCAGCGCATTGGCATTTTATCTTACATATTTTTACCGGGATTTCGGTAACGGTACGGTTATTAGTGTGACGGTGACCGGTACTGGTTTTCAGTACCGTTGCGACCTCTAACACAAACTATTTGTTAATTGTCTTCGAAAATTTATGATAAGTAAATTACACTACTTAGCGATAAATAAGGTTGTTATGGAATGGGGGAATTATGGAATAGCATATTTTATATGTTTGACAAATATGTGAAGATGTTTTAGCTGCAATTTTTAGCAATCTAAAATTGTTGTATTTTATGTAAGCCTAAACGTTTTTTGAGCTTAATATACAATATGATATGTGGATTTTAAATACTGACGCAACTAGTATCGCTGTTAAAAACGTATGTCAAAATAAATAGATAGAATCAAATTAAATAAATGGCATAAGATTAACTTTACATATGTCGTTTGAAATACTGGGGATTTATTTTTTGCATAATTGGTTTTGCCAAGTAGAGTTTTAGGGAGATTACCCTACTATCACACCAAACTAGTTCTCACTACGTTCTCGAAAACGGGCTTCAACTGTGTACGAACGGACTGGACGTACTAAGAACCGTTTGGGATCTATTTACAAACTTCATCGAACGTACTCGAACGGGTAGGTCCTCTAGAACTTAGACAATGCTCAAAATGTTCTCGTGGTCGTCACGTTCTACAATTAGAACGAGTGACAACGTACTAACGACGAGCTGGACGTACTACGAACGGAACCGTCGTACTTCAATCCTACTAGGGACGTTTTAACAACGAGTTGAACTGTCTGAGGACGTATTGAGAACGAGGTAGAACTCATTGCAAACGGGTTTAAACTGATTAAGAACGTATTTAACACTGCTTATGAACGAGTTAGCAAAAATATAGCTATCACACCAAACAAGTTGCCACTGCGTTCTTAACTGGTTCTAAACTATGTGCGAACGGAATGAACGTAGCTGCAACTTTCTAAGGTCTATTTACGAACTTTATGAACGTTCTCAGACGGGAATGTGATTTTAGAATTTTGAATCGATTCAAAATTCGATTGCGACCATACCGTTCTGTTATCAGGTCATGATGACCTTCTAGACTAAGGGACACGTTCTACGGCGTTGCACACCGACGTGGTGCGACCTGAACGAACTGCGAACGAGATGGACGTATTGAAGACTGTTTAAGAACGAAGAAGCTAATTATTTCAGACATATTTCCCGACCACAGCCAGATTGAGCCCGTTTTACGACGTTTTCGTAGGACTGGCAAGAACGGGTAAGAACGAGTTTGGTGTGATAGGGGGGTAAGGAGGTAAGATATATCCCGTATCTTGATTTTGAGGTTTCCATATCCAGAACCTCCATATCTCCCGCCATATCTCCCGCTTCGGTGCATATCTACCCGCTTCCGGTAATTTCACTTCAAAATTATTTTTTCAAAATTGTTTTTTCAAATTTTTTTTCAATTTAAAAAAAAAAATATTTTTTTAAAATGTTTTTTTTATTTTTTTCAAAATTTCTCTTTTTCAAATTGTTGGATACATTTATCCTTTTGTTATATTGTTAAACAACACTTTTGTATATCAAAAAGTTATCAATATATTTAAATTTAAAAGTGGAAATGCAATAAAATGACTATGCCCCTGAAAACTCTACTTGGTATAGGATAAAGCAGTTATGTACGGTCGGTTTGGATATTGGGTTCATCCCTCGTGAGATATGCACATCTACCTTCGGTTCTACGGTCCCTCAGGTAGATATGCATATCTCCCTCTGGATAAACCCCATATCCAAAACCTCCCAGTACATAACCCTTATTTATTCTCGTTGTGAGACTCACAGTATATCCCTCTTGGAAGTTTTCCTCGTAATTGGTTTTACTCTCGATGTGACTTAAACCCCATGGCATATACCATTTTGGATTACAATAAGGTATTACAAATCATAATCAACCGAAACAGAGCAACAGCTTGATAATTCGCAATTTGACCTGTACGTCTTAAAATGTATACGTTCAGTAGTCAGGGTCAATACATGTTTTACTCATTAAAAACTTCATTAAATCCACTGGTCCGAAGAGGAAAAATAATATTCCCTTCTGTTTTTAATAAATTTGAAGTTATCCAACAGTGGGAAAAATGGGAAACTATGTACCTGCATGGGAAGTAGCAATAAAGGCTAAGCCAAAATTGCGCACTTATATAACCTTTAAAAAGTGAATAAAGTAGATAAGTCAGTTTCTAAGATTGAATTTTTCAGAATTTGAGCGAAGTCTAGCAGCTCAGTTTAGACTAGGTATTTTGCTACTTAGGCTAGAGACAGGCAGATTTAAGGGCGAAAATGTGGAAGAAAGATTATGTACATTATGTAACGGCAACTCATTTGAAACAGAAATACATTTTTTATTCCATTGCAATAGATATGATGATCTGAGAAAAACATATTTAGATGAGGTCGATTTTACAGATTTGGATAATGAAGGTAGCAAAATTGAATTTCTTTTAGGGAACATACCTAAAAAATTGTTAAATTTATTAAGATGGCTTTTGTGCGGAGAAGGCAATTCATTTACAACCTGTGATATTGATTTTCGTGTATTAATTTTGTATTTTCTATTGTTAACAGTGGTTAATAAGCCCAATGTGGGCTGGGTAAATTTGTAATTAATTTTTTATATTTTATAATTGAATTGTAAGACTGACCACTATAAATAAATAAACTAAACTAAACATTAACAGTAGACATGATTACACAATGCAGCTGTTTTTATTAATATTCTATCCATTATACAAATTAATAGGATAAAACACGAATAGCATATTGGAATAAAAGGGGATACATCCCCAGTGTACCACACTATCACTGTTCCACAACTAGTTACTTTGACGGAACGTCAATGTAACAAAATGAATGAACAGTTTTTTTTGTTTTCTTGATATAAATTACGTATAAGCCATGTTGCGAATTATCATTTGGCACAAAGTTAGACAATATAGTCTAGCTTTTAGAAATGCTCTTGGTTTGGAATTTGATTTTGAATAAAGCTGTAATTTATGCATTTACACCATCCCCTTTGTTACATTGACGGAAGTCGTCAAAGTAACATACATTGGTTATATAACGGATTTCGTTAATGTAACAAAAGTGAGGGGCTAAATATATGATATGCAACTTAATTTACAAAATAAATTCCAAATCGAAGAACCTTATTAAAACTAGACTATATTTTCTAGCTCGGCGCAAAATTATAATCTGTAACTTGACTCATAAGTAGGTTTAATTCGAGAATAGTAGTATTCAGATAACAGACGGTGAACGTTTTGCAACAATTGATGGTGGTATGCAAAAGAGGTAATTGCTACTTAAACTATGAATTGTAGGTAATCTCCTCCTCCTAAAGGCGTTTCGAGGAAGAACGGAACCTTGGAAGGTGAACAAACAATGTAAAATAAACATTATTGATGCATATAACATTTACGCATTTGATAATATTACTTTGAAGTAAATGCATCCATTTTCAATGGCTCGAGGAAATTGTGTAAACGTTGCTCTAATTACACTGTGGTTGATATCAGGTAAGTTAAAAACCTTGTTTTTTAGTATAAATATTTAGTATGACATATATGAATTAAGACATCCTTCCTATTTTAGGAGTGATACATTGCCAAACCTGCAACCCTGAGTCTACGCTGTGTAAGAAACGTGATATTTTAAAATTGGAAGATCGCATATCTGGAGAACTTGAATCATTGCGGTCGGACGTGAAACATGACATTTCTCAATTGATAGATGAATTAGAGAAGATAAATACAATCGGTGATAAGCCAAGTGTGAGCGCTGAGAAAGGTGCGTGTATGTGTTTATTGTATTTCATGATCAGAACCGAATGGAGCCCATAAATGAGCTTGTAATTTTTCAGAGTCAATTTTCAATATTCACTCATACCAAAATGAGTTGATAACAAGAAAATTCTAAAGGTTTTGAGTTCTGCCACTTAAATGGTCAAAGACACTCCTAAATGTTGCTCTCCATGTTATCAATTAAAGGTCGAGTGCCCGGAAATATTACACAATTAAACACGTTGAACAACTAATATACATACTTTTTGTGGCTTGGTTGAATGGCTATTGATCCAAAGTTCCGATTTGTCTCATCAAGAAGACGATAGAGTGACAAAGATTACGTCTAGCGGATTTAATCATTTTTGTGCAAATTTTCTTCTTGGATCGAAAAATCTAATTTTAATTCGATTAACTTACGATAAGTGACAAAAGGTCTTAATGTAGGTCACCTGACACAAAACAACGAATCATATGACACGAAAACAATGATTCATTCGCCAGATGGCGTAGTTAAATGGGGCCAATTTTACGACAAACGAAAACTGTTTAGCTCGGCTTCAATTTTGCTCTTGCAGTCGAACAAAACTGAAACTTCTTTCGTCGATATCTAGGTAATTTATTTCTGGTATTTTGACAAAAGTAAGTTCAGGTCGTAGCCATTCTTCGGGGCAGGTTTGAGGCACCAACGAGTTTTTCTAAGGAATTATTCCCGATTTCCGGCTATTGCACAGGAATCACCCTGATCTTTGCAACGATTTCTGTTTTCGGGGGTCTAATTGTTTGGTGGTAGATTTCAAGTAAATGGTCATTCAGATAACATCACATATGGAAAAGTGGGCATTCGAGCTGGGTGAGTGTGGGTCAAAACGTTAAATCTCTTACTGATAAGTCGATTCTTAAACCATTGCCGCAGCCACTCCAGCGCTTGGTTTGAAGTATGTTGGGTGACCCGTCCTAATGGAATCATTACTTCTCAAAAATAATGCCTGTGCATTCCTAATGCTGTAAAAAACGTCCTCATAATCACAAGATTTGTTCTACTGATCAGTCGATGTGACTCTGAGTGGGCCATACACTCACATGACTTGAACACTTAAGAGTAATGTCTGTAGGGCTATATAACTGAATGACTATTGTTTATGAAAACTGCCCTCATGCAATCCAACATCTGGAAACAGAGATGACAGCAAAGATCAGAGCTATCCCAAAACAGGAGTGTGTCAACTAAATTGATAACTTGGAGGCCCACATCCAGGAGAGGCCATTTATTAAAAAATCGTTTATGAATATTGTTTGCTGTGAAATTACCAAACGAAACTTTATAATATTACAATCCTTTGTAGGCTACATGTTCCATGAGAATGATCTTATCTTTAGTATCACATTTAGCAAAATTAATTTATCACTTATGCAAAAAGTTGGATGAACATTGTGTCAATGATAGATCACACTGATGCTTTTTACATTTTCTTATGCTGTATTTTAAACTTGACTCTATGACTTATGTTTTTGTATTTGTCAAGTTGTATATATTTTATTGTTTTCTAGTTAGTCTAGTCTAAGTCATTTTTGTACACTGCACTGACTAAATATAATATGTCATTCTGATGACATCAAACAGTCAATAAAACATATGCATTGTATAGGCTTAGCGACTTCTTGAATAAGACTTTTTCTGGTGATTGTAAGTGAAATGTTCATAATTGTTCATATTGTAGTTCATTATTTACAGTGAACAAAGATATAATTTGTGATCGTCAGTCCAAAACTTTGAAGTGTTCTGAAAAGAAATCGACTATTACTATTCTTAATGGAGACTATGGTAGAAAAGATACACAAACCTGCGCAAAACCAGGGTTGGTATAACTCGCTTTGTAAAGTCAAATCAAGTTTTGTATACTAGAAACTTTAATATATCCGTATTTGATTTCGCTTAAGTGTCCTAGTCCTGATCATGGCCCACTTGTAAAATCATGTGGGGACATATTATATCATATCATACGCATGCTTCTCTATTTTGCATTTTATTTACTATTTATAGAGCAAATCTAAGTTACTAATCCTTGCCGTGCCCCCTTTGTAAATCAAGTCTGAAAAAAGGTTTCACTCATACTTCTCTATCAAATCTTGTCTTTTTATTTAAAGAGCTAATCCCAGTTACTATGCAGACACATCCTGTAGTAGTAAAAAGAAAACATTGATGTATCTGAAGAGCATGTGTGATGGAAAGCAAGCATGCTTTGTAGACATAGTAACGTTTAACAGAAATGTCGGAGATCCATGTCCAAATATAGATAAATATGTTGACGTTCAGTGGATATGCAAAGGTAAAAATGAGCATTCAGTTTTTAAACATTGACTTGAAACAATGTCATCGTAGCAGCTATTTACACAGCTAAGTGAGTTAAATGTGTAGTCCTACTGAAGCTTCGAGCTTTGTTGTTTAAATAGCTCTGTGGGTTCTTCATAAAATAATATGGATTGGTCTTGTAATGTAAAAAGACAAGATTAACACAGAATTAATATACTCATAAAACTATACTTTATTCCAAGTAAAAGACTAACATGTACAATTACACTCTTCAGTATAAAATAAAACTGTTCAAAGATAAAGAAAGAATGAAAATGAGATTAATAAGATGAAAAGAAATGATGTGTGATGTTCCCCCCGATCTAACTCTCTATGAATGAAGCCCAAAATTTCTCTTAAATACCCCCAAGTTATAGAAAATGAAAGGCAATCCCTTACCCTACAAAACCTATAAGAAACCCATTTAAAGATGGCAGCACAATACGGTGAATCAACATGAAAAATGCTATACAACCCCCACCCAAATAAAATGACAATTCTCCTGACATTGTACGTACTAAAAAAAAACTGAAAATATGCAAAATCTAAATAAATGTATATGATATTTTAACAATGTCCTATATGAATGTTTACTAACACAGTGCCGCATACATAGTTTGTGTATAATCCATATCCATATCCAATATCCATATGAAATATCCACGCAGAGTTCGTGCAAATATCCTTGCTTCATACGTAGTTCCTGTTGATAAACGTCGTTATAATAAACCATAATAAGTTCCGATTTTATAATCCGCGTATCTAGTCCTGGATCCAATGCGATGCTGTAATACGTGCATCTAGTCCACGATGTAATATTTTACCAATCCAAAATATGCACCGTCTTAGTAGTCGAAATAATATCCATAATCCGTATATCACATGCACGTCCGCATCGTGTCCATTATCGAATATGTCTGTATCCTCGCTGAAGAATCCATAATAAAATATCCATTTCCTTGTAGCAGTGTTCATAATAAACGTTTTCGTTGGAGAAAAGAATTGTTTATAATAACAGGAGATCGTACATCTTCAGCTCCTTCATCAGTTGTCGAAATCCTCTGTGGCTCCACTCCATCCGAAATCCGCGTCGTCTGCATCTCCATAAGACATAGGCATCGCCTTCACAGGTCATCTCCATCGCTTCTTCACGGTTAGGTAGTCGTCATCTACTTCAGGTCGTCATAGGAAATCGCTTACTGGGATCCCGGGCAATCAATTTTTAATTCTCAAAAAGTTCTCCAAAAGTGTCTTTAAAAAACATTTTTTATTAACATGTCTTTAACTTGCTTTTCTATGTGACATAAACAAGTCTTCTTCGTGTTCTAAACTCTTCATGAATTTAATTTTCTTCAAGACATCAATTTCTATTCATTGACTAGTAACTAGTCTTTCTATCTCTTCAACATACAAACTTTTCACTTGACTTGTCTTTCATGACTGAGCGTTTTTCAACTCTTCAACTCTTCTAGCAACTCTTCAACTTCAACTCTTCATGAAATTATTTACATTTTCTCTCTATTCTTCAAAATGATCTCTGATTGTTACTTGTGAAACTTGTCTTTATCTTTAAAATGCACTGAGTGGTTAGTCTTTTAAAATAAAAGATGCAAATTGCTTACGAACAGTAAGAAAGAATATAAATATGGCTTAACATGTTTTCCATAATAGGCAGGACAAATTCCAAAAAGTAATAACACAATTATACATATCTAGCGATTTAACATTAACATCAATAATGCAACATGGGTTTCAGACTCTGCCAAGATTACTAAAACCTTTTCATCAGGTCGCCCCCTCTTGCTAGGACTTTGTTTCCGAAAGTAAATCAGTAACACCTCAGTGCACAATAGCATTTTACTTTGGATTTTCCAAAGAATTCTATATTTTCATACTTAGCGCTATGTATTGCACAAATACAAACAAATTGCTATATTCAAATATAAATGACTAATCTCTCATGTATTCATTTCACTAAACCTGATGATTGATGGCTGTCATAACAAAATCTCGTTGTAGGATCCACAGTTTGTACTTTCTTACAAAACTGAGAAAACCACTTGCCTGGGCTTCAATTCAATTCTCTATTGAACCCTAAATTTGACAATTTATGATCGTCATCATAACATTATCCAGTTGCCGCTCGGGAAATAACCATTTATTTCGAGCATGTACATGGCAAAATCTCATAACAAATAGTGTGGAATAAAACATTAAAAAACAAAATCAGAAACCTTAAAGACAAGATATCCCAAAGATAACATTATCCCGTCCAGCAGGAATATGTTTCTTGATAGACTAAAATCATCATAATCTTATGATGCAATTTCCACAATACACAAACAGAAAAACATGCGATATACTTTTATGCTTTTCGCATCCTCAAAAGATACAACTTGCTCATTGTAAGTAATATTTAAAATTATTAGCCATTTGATTCCTCTTTAAGTCATAGCAAAATTATTCTCCAACCCTGGTTTATGAGGCCGAGTCTTAAAACAAAACTGCACTAATTCTACATAATACCGAGTAATTCCAACTAATGTTACTGTCAGTGCACGTGGGCTAACTGATACCTATGATTCAACTTAGATGCGATATCCAAGGATAAATACCAGTTATTCTACCCCACTGCTTTACATGTGGATCATTTGTTACCTATGATTCAACTTAGATGCGATATCCAAGAATAAGTAACAACCACACAACCTCGATTTAAAACAACATTGAACTCTTCTTCTAGCTAACTTATCAACTTAGATGCAATATCCAAGAACACATGACAAGAAGCCTAGTTCAAATCTCATAACTTAACAACAATGAATTCTCTTCGTCTAGCTAACTTATCAACTTAGATGCAATATCCAAGAACGCATGACAAGAAACCGACTTCACTTTTCATCATTTAAGTACCATATAACTGCCAGGCCTTACTACACGAATGGAATATGAAATTCCATCATAATTTCGCATCACAAACTACCCCCTCCATTTTTATGGAATTTCATATCTCTTAATAAAACCAGATAAAACGATATATGTGTATTTTCGACAAGCACACGTTTAATTACTGTAAAACATAAATTGCCTTCAGAAATCTCATTTTACAAGTTACTCTTCAGTCTTTTTAAATTTGTTATTTGTTTACTTCTAATTTTTTTAATTTTAATTGTTTACTCTTTATTGTTACTTCTAATTACTTATTTCTAATTGTTTACTTCTTATTGTTACTTCTAATTGCCCGGGCAACCACATATTACAAAAATGACAAATCTCATTCATCCATTCAGCGAAACAAAACAAACATGCATTCTTGCCAAATACGGATGTTTGACCCTTTCTATGCATAATTAATAAAGAAAAATGTTCTTCAATACTACAAAATGGTCCTGTTTTCATACTTGAAAGGCTTTACCTCCCCTTAACAATTCCTCTTGCAAGTTATGTTTTCATCCACTAGCCATTAAAATATACCTATATGCAATTCCATTGAGAGTTTGAAATAAAAGATCTTTTAAGGTATGCATTGATGACTTTTACTTAACTCTGTATTATGTACTTTTTCCCTTTTGAATAATCACGAGATAAACAATGCCCATGCAGCAAACATTTAACTAACTTACTACTAACCGACTATCTACCTAACTACCTAACTAGCTAACTAAATATGTTCCCTTTATATTTCCTTATACCAGAGACATATAAAATGTTTTATAGGTCTCTGCTTATACACACTATATACATTCTTTGACTAAACAATCAATTAATCCCATCCATATCTTGTAGGCGCTCTTCTATTTCTTGCATTTCAATATTGAAGCAAGACTACGCCTTAATAACCATCCGACGATTTCTTTTCTTCATTTTGATTTTCAGGTGAAACCGTGATTTTGCCATCTGTGTCTTTCTCGTCATGGAGACTTACATTTTTATCTGACCAAATCAAATCAAAGTTTTCATTATTTTCGTCTTTCTCATCTTCATCTTCCCCGACGGCACCTAACACGACAGAACACCCATTTTCACATTGATCCTTCCCCTCCATATTCACAAGGTATCAACTTCTATTTAATGAATGAGCTATAATCTATACGTAATATCAAAACACAAACAGAATCAAGTACGCTTTTATCATCAATACAGGGATTTTTACAAAATACAAAGACCAAAAACTAGATCTCGAACATTCAAATCAAATATTCTCAATTCATAATTTCGTCTAACACCAATTCGGGACAATCCTAACACTATAGCCACAGCCAAACAAATAGATGCGCGCTCGATTTTGCCAATTTTAAAGCAATGCGTCTTAGCATGCACAATTGTAGAAATAAAGGATAGAAAGAAAGTAAAAGAAAGTGTTTTTGAAGTAACTAAAACAGGAGCCTGTTACATGAGCTTCTTGTTGATAGCAAATACAGAAATTAGTACAACGCTGAAATGCAAGCGTTTTCGTATTTCAATTTTAAAAGTAACTACAACGGGAGCCCGTCTTCATTACTAAATGATGATTCCCTTAACAATAGCACGTGTAAACATCAAATATTCTTGACATCAAATATTCTTGACTCTTTGTCTTCTTTTTGTTCACAAGATCAAGGTAAAGTTACGCATAAATTAACTGAGCGTACACAAACGCAAGATCATTATCAGTCTTTTAAGTGAAGACCGTCAACTTAAATGCATGCATAAACAAACATTGTGCATAAAGACAAAGTTAATACTTAATAGTACAGTGAAGACGAATACTCTTCATTCAAAGTAAACTGAATATGAAGACAAAATCCTAAAGAAAGAGTTGAAGAGAACTAATCTTCACTCTTCAGTATAGAATGAACCTAACTTAAAAGAAAGAAACGAAGAGAACTAATCTCCGCTCTTTTGTAAGAGTAAAGCTAAATTGAAGATGCGAAGAGAACTAATCTCCACTCTTCAGTGAAAGTTAATCAAATTTAAAGATGTGAAGAGAACTAATCTCCACTCTTTAATGAAAATAAAAACACTAAAACTGCGAAAAGAATCTCTTTACAAGACAAAAACCAATCCCACCGCTGCCACCAATGAAGCTTCGAGCTTTGTTGTTTAAATAGCTCTGTGGGTTCTTCATAAAATAATATGGATTGGTCTTGTAATGTAAAAAGACAAGATTAACACAGAATTAATATACTCATAAAACTATACTTTATTCCAAGTAAAAGACTAACATGTACAATTACACTCTTCAGTATAAAATAAAACTGTTCAAAGATAAAGAAAGAATGAAAATGAGATTAATAAGATGAAAAGAAATGATGTGTGATGTTCCCCCCGATCTAACTCTCTACTGAATGAAGCCCAAAATTTCTCTTAAATACCCCCAAGTTATAGAAAATGAAAGGCAATCCCTTACCCTACAAAACCTATAAGAAACCCATTTAAAGATGGCAGCACAATACGGTGAATCAACATGAAAAATGCTATACTACATTCGGAATTGACTTTGCAGCAAAATTGTACAATACACTATTCACGTGAAAGGTCGAACCATCGCATCATCATATGTAAAAATTGCAAATGTTGTAAGCGAAATTCGCATCATCATATGCGCTTTTCAATCCATCTTATGTCATCAGTTCATGTTCTTACATAACCATTTTTATCCTCACATGCACTGGTATCAACTATCACACAAATCACACTCGAATCATTTTGCACTTTAACATACAACAGAAATGTTGAGATATTACACAGATTGTGGTGCAACAAATAACATCAATAGCAGAGATAATCGGTGTAATATTTTTTCAGTGGTTGCAAATGAAGAATGCTTTAGCAAGCCAATGGAATGCCCAAATGGTTTCGAGCGTCATTATGATTCTTGCTATCACTATGCACATGGAGACAAAAAGGTATCATGGTTTGAAGCGAACGATAACTGCAAAGGTATGAAATCTCATCTCCTTGCAATCGAATCCCCTGCCGAAATGGAATTCATCAAATCCAAGCATAGAATCGCTCTCTGGACCGGAGGAAACATACTGAGTGGTGGGAGAAAATTCAAATGGGCCGAGGGTGGCTGTTATAAAGCTAGAGAAGTAGGCTACTCGAACTGGAGTCCAAATGGTCCACAGCCAGATAACCACTTGGGGAAAGAGTCTTGTCTCATGATATGGGATCAACATTTCCGATGGGCTGATTTTGATTGCAACAACAAACTCAGTTATGTCTGTGAAATAAATTTGTAATAAAAAGTATTAGATAGTACACGATCGTACTATATAGAACATAAGTAATATAATACATTTTTATTAGTTTCTATATTATCTCAAATATTAATTGTACTTTTGATTGTTCCCTAAAAAGCAAGCAAATATATATTAACAATTCTGATCCTTTTTAACCCCAAAATGTTTTTTTTACTAGTACTGCACTCTTCAAAACCGAAACGGATCCGCTTCGGTAAAAAATTCCGGTGTGACAGTTCCACATGTTCATGCTAAAGTATGTCCAATGAACTTATTGTGAATTTATTTATTTCATCCCATAGCTTGTTCACGATCACAGCTCTAGCTCAGTGAAAGAGTTCACAGTGTTTATTAGAGTCTTGTCTAGCTGGCCATTACAAGATAATGATATCGTGACCACACGGACTTTGAGATAAATTGAACGGGAGAGAGTTACCATCGCAAAGCTACCTGTTTCAGAAATGATCTTGCTCTACAAAGTCTCGAAAATAACTCCGCCATCTTTACAAATTCTGTTTCTAACCAAACTTGGAAATGTCTCCTGATAGAATAATACCCAGATCGGGAATAAACCTCGATTCCTTTATCAAACACTAGATGGCGTTGCGACGAGCCAGAAAAGGAGGAAAAATATTTTTATGCAGGACACCAAATCACTCAGAACTATATTCACAGTCGATACAATTAAACTCAATGTTACTAGATATGTTCAAGAGCAAACCTTAACATGAGTATCATATTAGCAAGTGACGATAAAATAGGAAATTTGTAGTAGATAGATAGTAAGAATTACTTATTGTAGATGTAAAAAGATAGCGCCAGTGCATCAGTATAACACTCATACCGAGTCTTATTAAGACAGCAGGACGCGTTTCAATTTATCTCGTCAGATAATTTGATTTTGGCCAATGATATAATTAGAGTTGAACACGTCAAACATATGAAAGCATTGAAATCAATATCGCAAATCAACTGTCATTTAGTGACCAATTATATTATGTAGTGTATGGAATTTTCGATATTACAAGGAACCGTTCTTGCATATTGAACAGAGCAGATGGTCCTGTAACATAAATGCAGTCATTTTACGAACGCAACGTTGCTTAGTGTCAAATCGTAAGCGATGCTTCCATCTTGATCCACAGTGTTTACGTTTATTCCTTTGATTCAATGTGCAATACTTCTTGGATACGCACTTTTATAGGTGATCACTGACGGACAGACTCATAGTGCTCTCCTGGGAAAGTCTTCTGACTTCTTCATTGTGAAGCAACACATCACGTAACATAAGGAACACAAGGCCTCTTTATACCAGTTGAAACCCCTCAAATACGCAGCACACGTGCGTTTATAAATGGAATTGACTCTGAAGTATCAATGCTCCCCTTATTCCGATGTCAAGACGCACCATGAAGATCAGAACCCGGTACATGAGGTAGACGAAGCTATCTTTTAAGAAAAAAATCAAATCAATTATTGGTTTAGACGGTAAATATATAAATTGACATTTCTTAATTTTGGATTTACGTGTATTTAGCGATTCTAGTGTACGAAATAAGCACTAGTGATTAAATCCTTGGTCCCTTTCCCAAAACAGATTATCAATTAAGTAAATGAAAATCATTATATGTTTCGATATGTTTCTTAAGCTATCATACTCCTCTGTCTTGATAGCTAATCTTAAAACAACCTTAAGCTTGAGTGTATCGACTATATAGAACCAAGTACCGACCGAAAATTACAAAATGTTAATGGGATAACAATGTCTTATGGCTACCTTCAAACAAAAATCCTTCATTAAATTCTCGCGAAGCACACAGACTGCAGCAGAGATGAATAACTGAGGAAAGTGTGTGTGCGCTTGGAGACTCCGAGCTATATTTCTCGTTAACGAATTTACATCGACGACTACATCAGAGCTGAGAGGGGAATAAATGGAAAAGACTGTGGATATCGTGGAATATTTTTGAGGGATGCGTCATCTTTGGAAAGGCAATTAGGTTGAAGATGGCGGACACGGGCTAAGAAGCTAAGATTGCAATTGCTGCTATTGATTTATATCATTGCGAGATTGATTAGGATAATTGTCATCTTATGCTATGAGATAGAGTTTCAGTTTTATGCCATTTTATTAGGATATTTCATAATATATAGACATAATATAACATCTAAGCAAGGATACTGGCATTGAGATATGTTAATCAAAGAAAAGTACAAATACCAATCACATTGATAAACCCAAAACTGAAAAGGGAATTTGGATAGAGTAACGCATACATTTTTAGTAAGATCTTAGACATGACTGGATGATCTTCAGGGCTGATATTTCTTATATTTCCGTAGAAGATGAGTTAACTAATAATTGCCTATGGGAAAGATGTGTATTAAAAGCGGAATTGGATGCGTTCTTGCGTTGATCTACCGTGTTGGTCTGATATTGGAATAGAGGTTTCGAGGAATTCATTTTCTTATGAATGTTACAGTGACCTCATGGATTCGAAAATATGGCTATCTGACTCTGTTTCTTTGTATTTAGCCTGAAAAAGCAGGGTTTTACATGCGATGTCTGAAACACCGACAAGTTTTTGGGAATCCGTGGAACCTTAACATCGGCAGTACATACACCAGCGGAGTGATTTAATTTCGAGCATTGGATTTACATAAATTTCATTTCCCACATGATTAGGATTTTGCATGCTTTTTATACAGATGTATTTGACAATGTGTTATTGTGGAAAGCGTAAACTGTTAATGATCACAACAAGTGCGGCGTCTTGTGGTGCCTTTGTCCTGCTTTCAATAGCATTAGCGACGGACTACTGGATTAACACAGAAGAACGCATCAAGGATTCAAACGTCACTGATGCATACCGACACACCCACGCCGGACTCTGGAAGCTCTGCTTCACAGACAGTACGTATAATAGATGTTGTGCTTTGTAGTCTTGTTCCAAGTGTACTCTCCTCCTTTTCCATTTAATGGACTTTCCAGAGAGCTAGACAAGATCGAATGGAGGAGAATAAGTATAGTACAGGCCCGTGGCCAGCTTTTGTCAAGGGAGGGGGGGTCGATTTTCAGAACATTTCAAGGGATGGTTCACATTTGGAAACTTGGCCCGAAACCACTTGAAAATGATCAAAATGGTGAAAACTGTCGAATTTTTGATCCCCTTATAATGAAATGGAGGACATTCACTTGGTGCAAGACTCCGTTATTTTGTATGACTCGATATAGTATCACCCTCTGCCGTGCTAGGAAACAGCCTCGTCAATTGCACATGCATAGCCACTTTTCTTAACGTTTCATGACATCGGTGTAAATTAGATTCTAGAATTTCGTTCCATAATTTAGTAACATGGCAAAATTACTAAATTATATAATATGAGAGGTTGATATATTTATTGAATCTTAACATATATAAATTGGTAGTATTTCTAGAAAGATGAGGCTGAGTCCTGTTCTCTAAGTAATGGCGGAGAACTGATCTTACGTTGAATTGAAAGCTTGGTGTTTCTATAATTATCAAGTCACATCAATGTCTAGTTATCACAAATATCTGCTTTGCTTTGGATTATATTTTGCCTCATTCCTCCATTTTCGCGTCCTTAGCATGGGAATATACGCTTCCATATGCATACACAGCTCACTATTGTACATGAATGTCATTTCTTCAGCGTATTGTATACGATAAGTTGAATTATGGTATATGAACCTCACTATTGTATACGATATGGTGACTTCAAGGTATATGTGTCTATCGTATCGTATCGTATGGCTTCTTACAGGATATAATATATCCACGACATTGTACGTGTAGCTCATTGTCGTATACAATATGATTTTCAATATATGTACATGTAGCTAAGTATCGATAGGATATGGCCACTTAAAGAGCTATAATTTGAGCTCATTACTATTCAAAACATTTATATGCAGCTTATTCTTGTACAAGTTATATGCAGCTTAATATACAATTTATATACAGCTTATTATGGTACATAATATGACGACGTTAATCTAATTATTGCATCTCTAATTTTCGTATACAATATTGCTGCTTCAAAGTAACTGTACTCAATATCGTCCATAACATTGTGAGGCTTATTATCGTATACAATATTGCTGCTTCAAAGTAACTGTACTCAATATCGTCCATAACATTGTGAGGCTTATTATCGTATACAATATTGCTGCTTCAAAGTAACTGTACTCAGTATCGTCCATAACATTGTGAGGTTTATTATCGTATACAATATTGCTGCTTCAAAGTAACTGTACTCAGTATCGTCCATAACATTGTGAAGTTTATTATCGTATACAATATTGCTGCTTCAAAGTAACTGTACTCAGTATCGTCCATAACATTGTGAGGTTTATTATCGTATACAATATTGCTGCTTCAAAGTAACTGTACTCAATATCGTCCATAACATTCTGAGGTTTATTATCGTATACAATATTGCTGCTTCAAAGTTACTGTACTCAATATCGTCTATAACATTGTGAGGTTTATTATCGTATACAATATTGCTGCTTCAAAGTAACTGTACTCAATATCGTCCATAACATTGTGAGGCTTGTTATCGTATACAATATGACACTTAATGTATTGTACCAGACTCTGAAACCACTACTGTTATATTGGCATGATAAATCTTTAAGTTTATATGTCCTAAATTCCCAGAGGTCGCGTTAGCTTATTTTAAGTTATCAATATGGAGATTCATCCTTTGAAACGCAACAAAAGAGTTATGAATTCTACGCCATGGGATAAAGAGTGTTAATCACGAAAAAACTCCAAAGTTAATGATAATTCCAGACTTCGTAAAACAGTGCTCTAGAATCGAATACAGCAAAATACAATGCTTTATATGCTACATGTAGACTACTTCTCGGATTTTCTTTAGAAAATATGCTACCTGTAGACTATTGCTCGGATTTTCTTTAGAAAATATTGATGAGACTCATTTTCTATTTTCTAAAGAAAAAGTTTTAAACTTGAACTACATTTCCTATCATCACATGCATTAATTTGATCCGTCAAACTTGAAATACATTTCCTATCTTCACATGCAACAATTTGACCTGTCAAATTTGAACTACATTTCCTATCATCACATGCAATAATTTGATCAGTCAAACTTGAACTCCATGTCCTATCTTCACTTGCAACAATTTGACCTGTCAAACTTGAACTACATTTCTACCCTCACATGCAACAATTTGACCTGTCATACTTGAACTACATTTCCTATCATCACATGCAATAATTTGATCCATCAAACTTGAACTACATTTCCTATCTTCACATGCAACAATTTGACCTGTCAAACTTGAACTACATTTCCTATCATCACATGCAATAATTTGATCCGTCAAACTTGAACTACATTTCCTATCTTCACGTGCAACAATTTGACCTGTCAAACTTGAACTACATTTCCTATCATCACATGCAACAATTTGACCTGTCATACTTGAACTACATTTCCTATCATCACATGCAATAATTTGATCCGTCATACTTGAACTACATTTCCTATCATCACATGCAACAATTTGACCTGTCATACTTGAACTACATTTCCTATCATCACATGCAACAATTTGACCTGTCATACTTGAACTACATTTCCTATCATCACATGCAATAATTTGATCCGGCAAACTTGAACTACATTTCCTATCATCACATGCAACAATTTGACCTGTCATACTTGAACTACATTTCCTATCATCACATGCAATAATTTGATCCGTCAAACTTGAACTACATGTCCTATGTTCCCATGCAATAATTTGATCCATCAATCCTGAACTACATTTCCTATCTTCACATGCAACAATTTGACCTGTCAAACTTGAACTACATTTCCTATCATCACATGCAATAATTTGATCCGTCAAACTTGAACTACATGTCCTATGTTCCCATGCAATAATTTGATCCGTCAATCCTGAACTACATTTCCTATCTTCACATGCAACAATTTGACCTGTCAAACTTGAACTACATTTCCTATCATCACATGCAATAATTTGATCCGTCAAACTTGAACTACATTTCCTATCTTCACATGCAACAATTTGACCTGTTATACTTGAACTACATTTCCTATCATCATATGCAATAATCTGATCCGTCAAACTTGATTTACATTTCCTATCTTCACATGCAACAATTTGACCTGTCATACTTGAACTACATTTCCTATCATCACATGCAATAATTTGATCCGTCAAACTTGAACTACATTTCCTATCATCACATACAATAATTTGATCCGTCAAACTTGAACTCCTATCCTAACATGCGACAATTTGACCTGTTAAAGTCGAACTACATTAAAGATACATGTAGTTGATTATATGCTATTTGGACCATGAACACTTTTAGCGCACTTTAGTTTTGAGGATGACTTCCGGAAGTTAATTCAATCATCAATCATCACTCAACGTTAATTTGAGCGTGAAAAGACCAGAATATAGGGAATTCGAAAGTGATGTATTGAATCAGAAATAAACATTGATAAGGGGTAGGAAGGAGATCTGTTTATAAATAAGGAAGCTAGGGACTGAGTTGAGGTTATCTAAGTTCACTGACTGGACCTTTGGGAGGATATAAAACAGTTTTCAATGGTAAAGAATGGATAAAACATGTTCAGAATCCCAATTGCATAACAAACAATCGAAACCTATCCATGTAATTAATTTCACAATGGTCCATGATTAACTTAATTTTTGATGTATCACAATGAGAATGCTGAATACGATAAGTCGTGTTCGAATTATGCAAAACAAGGGTATACAAGGCAATGGCCAGACCGGGATAATTGGTCCTGCGATAGTCAACGATTACTTTTCGGTTTGGCCGAACTATTAATGAAAGGGGGGAGTGTGATAGTTTATTTGGTTGATATAAACGGTTTTAAATCCTGCTAGAATTAAGCGAGACAAGACGTATTAGATATTAATTCAAACAACATGCAACAGACGCTCCCCACAGTAACAAATGTTAGAGAACACATTACTCCCTAATAAATTGCAGCTGAAGCTCGGTCTTAACAGTGTTACCTTTTCGTAGTGACATTATCATAACATGGTAAAATCAGACCTTAGATTTTGATAGAGAGGTATGAACGTGATGCCCAAACATATCGACATTCTAATTCCTGTAAAATGTTATTGAATTCCAATGAGTTAACCATGGTACTTTATCTAGGGGCAACTCTTAGCCTAATTTCAAAGAGATATGTTTATGTAAGGCATGGGCATGGTTGGAATAATTGAATAAGCAAGCTCAACCTTCACGTCGCCTTACTTCTAACATTTATTAATAAGGTGAACAGAAGCTTGGGGTAACAGAGGCGAATAATACTCAAGGCAAATAAGGCAAGAATTCTACCCGTAAGCTAGGATATATAGGTAATTGCGAAATTGTTAATATATCATTCTGAATTATAACAGGTCTCTCAGGATATGCAAATGTGTCTTTTTCATGGACATTTTCTGAACTATTCAATTGACACTTAATGCAATGCAATCTCATGCAACTAAGTTTTTTTAGTTAATTTTATTGCCTTAATTTTCTTTTCGAGTAGCTTACTTTATTCTACTATATTAAACTTAACTACAGACATACTGCTTTTTCAGTATTTGGGTATGAACAACAACATTGTAAAGTGAATGGAAATGTTATTACCCATATTCCCCCGGTCTTTCTTGTGTAGACATTTGCTCATTTAAAATCAAAATGGCAACTAAACAACTCAAAACGAAATAATAAAACTAGATCCTAACACGTAGGAGTTGATCAGATGCTTTACATTTTGCATGACACCAGTATTTTGTTATCTCGGCGAGTTAAAGTCAAAGAGCATTTCATTTTCGCACTCAAGAGTGTCTCACAGTAT